TTAACTTTTGGATCGACAAAAATGATTTTTTGCAACAAATAACCTTCAAACTAGGGGTGTTCGCGGTCTGGGTTGGATCGGTTTTGGAAGCAAAACTCATCCGATCCAATTCCTTCAGTTTGATCATGTAATCATCCATTCGGTTTAGATTTTTTTTCAAATCCAATCCGATCCAATTCAATTTTTTTCGATTTGGATTGGATCGGTTTTCAATTTTTTGAATATCCTGAAATTAATTTCATGATTATTGTGCAAATAACATCTTTTGTATATATTGGCTTTGTAAAAAAAAATGAAATACAAAAATATCAGTAAACAATACTATAGTTGATGAGACGTGACTAAATTTTTTTTTTGGTTTAGTTGATGAGTTAATGGGTCTTGAGTTTAGAAATTTTTGGGCTATGATTGTAGAAATGACAAGTAGGTAGAGGATAATTAATATATTGGATCGGTTTTCATCAACCTATCCGAAAACCGATCCAATGCAATTAAAATTTGCGCTTTCCTTTCGATTTCCGATTTTTCGGTTTTCGATTTATTCGGTTATCGATTTTTCGGTTCGATTTTCGCGGTTTGAATCGGTTTAGATCAGTTAATGAACACCCCCACTCCAAACAAACATTAGCTAAAAAGTGACTCTATAATATCCATGGTCCCTGTTAGTTAAAATAATTGGCCAAGCAATGAACAGAAAAAAGGCTGGTCTATGAAATCAGTTGCCCCTAGGATCAGTGATCAAAGGCGAAAGACTCTGACAGAAATTACAAAATATCCTCAAGGATCGCTTGGTACACAGATTTTTTTCAGATTTTCGGAATATTAAAATTTTTAAAATTTTAAATTTTCAAATATTACTGTAAACTGAATATAAAAATTATATTTTTAAAAATTGAGATTTTCAGACAAATAAAAATTTCTTTTGTATTAAACGCTCTCTCAATGTAAAATTATGGGCAGTTGTTATAATAATCGTTTAGATTTAATTTAATAATATTTTTTTTTATACGAATAACATTTTTTTAACCCTACAATATATATAACTATACAGTATTACGTATTATATTTTTAATGTAATAATTAATATACTACTTTAACTGAATCGGGATACGAAGGTATGGATTTGTTTTCAATAAAGGTTAAGTATATATGTTGATATAACGGAGACAAGAAATTCAGTGGTAGAAACTAAAATTCTGTATATATTGACCTCAAGCTTGCTGAGGGTAAAAAAGGAAGGTGAATTTGGGCTATGATTATGACGTGGAGCAAGATTTTTCAGCAAAGTAATAATAATGGTGAGCGAATGGAGAAAATGATAAAATGAGAGCTAAAAAAAAATTATTAGGAATATAGTGGGAAAGTGAATTTGGTAGAAAAATTAAAAAAAATTATTTGGTAGGTCAAAATATTATCGAAAAAATTAGATTAAATTTTTCGAGTTTATATTTAATTGAAGGTAAAATATTGCTGAAAAAATGAGTTGAAATTACGAAAATAACCTTTTTAATTTTTGAATCTAAAAAGTAACCCTTTGCTGGGTTGAAATCTCGCTACTCGCTTTTTTTGCTCTCACCTTCTTTACTATGGCAGACCCATCATGGTTTCACCACCATCTCTCGTCATCTTCGCCTTTCATCCCAATCACTCCATCATCCTCACCTGATCCAGAAGTGAAAATAGAACGTGTGCAACAATGGACAACCAGAAATAGAACATTTGCACTCACTGATTGGCTCAACCAACCATGTATAGAATTTTTTCAACTGAAAGGATGAGACCGGTGCTTGCAAATTATCTCCACAAATGGAGGGTCTCACTTTCTTTCCCGAATGGAGGGTCGTTTTCGTCATGATGTTCGCGGTCCTTTTTTCGTTTAGCGAGTCATTTCAGAATTTCACCTCCCAAGTAGTATTTTTAAACAGTGTTTTTCACTACAATTTATACACAAATGACAAATGTTGGGCAAACCAATTCTCTCGATAAATTTTTTGAAAACTTGTACCGAACATGGACAACTTGAAATACCAACCTAACTTGCCTGGGTATCTATAAGAAAAACTCCTACCAAACGGCCCCTTAATAAAGAAGATGGAGGTTCCCTTCAAATGTGATGTAATAATTATTTTCAGTACTACAAGCCCCACTAAATGTGAAGTAACACATGTATCAGGAAGTCTCGTGCTCATAGTGACCATACCGGACAGCTATTTGAACAGGCTGGAGCTGGACATGACCATTTGGCCTGACCAAAACACTACCCTTATATTACGTACAACCGAATTTGATGGTCCAAGCAATACAAATGTAGATATAGTTTGTAGCAAGTCCCAGTGATACTTGATGATACATTCATGCAAAGTTGCTAAAGATACATTCTCTCGCAGGGCAAGGTGAGACAATCAAACTATCAAAGAGACTCGCTGACTCTCGAATACACATGCATGTACACATCATGTCTAAATCGTTGTGGATTAGATTGTGGTGGACTGGTGGTAAAGCTAGACCGAGTTATTCCTACATGCATGCATTATGGGGAAGAAAAAAATGGTAAATAGACTATAGGGCATAGTAATAGAGTTAACTGTAGTGTGTGGAATAGATGGAGAAGGCTGATGGAGAAGGTTCGCCCACTCCCGCGTTCTTTAATGTTATTATATGTGATCTGAATTCTAACTAAACAACTTTGAATCCTCCAATTACTTCATGTTGAAGTCGACTTTAGACCTGATCTACTAGAAAATTCATCATTTGCGACGAACTTTGCATAAATTTTTATTGCAAATGATAAATTTTCTAGTTGTTAAGGCCTAAATATAAAATGAGTTTAATATTTTTGTTTTTGCTGTGAAAATATTATATATGTATATGGGTTTTTTTTTTTGGTGGAGATGTATATGGGGTTTTAATATTTCTTTTATGTGTGTATTTGGAGATAAATTTATCTTCAGAAATACTAAACTCATATATGGGTGTTCAATAAATTTTTAGGCGTCTTTTGATTAAGAGAAATCTAGTAATTTATATTGTTTAATGTTTATCTTAAGTATATGAAGTATCGTTGCATCTTATTTTAATTGTATTTTTATTATTACTTATATATTAAATAATATAAATAAAATAAAAATTCTCTTATTCCGAAAATAACCAAGAAATTCCTCTTCTATTCCAATGAAAAGAAAGGAAGAAAAAAGAAAGAAGAAACACCCATGTGGACAGTTGCTACGTGTGGAAACTGTAAAGAACCAATTCAACCCAAAAGCTTAAGTTGTTGGGCGAGGTTACATTAATGATGTTATATATCTCAACACGTCTCCTCAGACGAGAGCCCACTGAGCTTGAAAGAAAGTGGGGGGCGACGAGAATCGAACCCGGGACACGAGGCTCTGATACCATGTAAAGAACCAATTCAACCCAAAAGCTTAAACTATTAGGTGAGGTTACATAAATGGTTTTATATATCTCAACACGCCCCCTCACACGAGAGTGGGCTTGAAGGGTGGACAATGCACATGCCCACCTACCTGTACGAACAAAAAAATTTCACTTGAAAGAAAGTGGGGGGCGACGAGGATCGAACCCGGGACACGAGGCTCTGATACCATGTAATGAATCATGGGATACACCACCCTAAAAGCTAGCTCAAAGGGTGGGAGTGCCCAATGCCTTATAAACTTCACATTAGTTGCACGTACAACCAATATGGTTTTATATATCTCAGCACCCGTGAAGTTCCACGCTTCTAGCCCAATGGGCTCTTCTGTGAAGGGGCGTGTTGAGATATATAGTCTCACATTGGTTGTATGTGCAATAATGTGAAGTTTATAAGGCCTCGGACACTCCCACCCTTTGGCTAGCTTTTTAAGTGATGTATCCCAAGTTTCTTAACAGAAACTATGGGGACATGTGCCTTATATGCAATTGACAACTTTGAAATACAAGAACAAATAACGTAGTTTTGCATGTATTATTAGCTCTCTGAGCACGAAGATTGACAATCATATGTAGTAAGCTTGGAAGCTAAATCACAGTAGTAAACCGCATATAGAACTACGGTGAGAATAAAACAAATGAGACTGTAAAGCGAAGAACATTTGGATCCATTCACCCTGCACATGCTCAATATGGAACCATCTTTTCATCCACTTTTTAAACGAAGATGTCACCTCTTTTATGCGAGAAAAGTTTTGGTACCACCCAAACTCGGTGGTACTTTTATTTAAAAGGAATTTTTTTTAGAATATAAAGAAAAATATATATAAAAAAAACAGATAAAAAGAGAATTTTTTTTCCATTTTAGCAAAAAGACCATCTAGTTTTGATGGTACTGGTGCACCAAAACTTTTCACCTTCTTTTATGCATGCCTTTAGCATAAGTAGCCGTGATTCTCGCTAATTAGCTATTCTACTTTCCTTTATAAACTTCTGTTCAACACCATTCAACTAACGAGTCTAAACTAGTTTGCTTTGGTCAAAGGCAGAGGATAGTAAGAAACAAAAACCTCTCAATTTAACTTTACAACTGTATATAATCACATTATATGTAAAGTTTCCAAACCTAGCCCATCCCAGAAAAATCTCTATATAATTGTCTATAACACAATAAACAAAATGCCATGGTTGCTAATTCTCTGTTTACATCGAATACCCACATCACAAAATTCTCTATTGTCCGGCCACTCCAATGTTTACACAGTCAACCATATCAATACACATCCTGCTAACCTATTATTATACCAGAAAGAAATCAAACAGATAGAGCTGTGTGTATTTTCAGGTGCAATAACTTCATGAGGGTTTAGGGAGAAGCCCGTGGCGAGGGACACTATCAATGGACTAAATTACACCAACGGTGGTAAGTGAGTCCGACATCATATCTGAACCCAAAATCTTAAGCATTGAGTTCATAAATCCTTCCACTTATATATTCTTTACTTAGCCCATTACCAACCAAGGAAGTACTCATCACACTTGAATATCTCAACAATAACTCAAAAGAATTATTTAGGAGGGCCATACCGAGACAAATCAGGCCAATGATTTGGGATCAAAGAAGAAGAACCTCTGATATTGTTCTGATCAGAGTTACCACTGATGGAAGCGGTGCTAATAGTACTCCACAAAGAGGTATCAGAAGCCCTGTGGTTAACATTATTGATGAAACTTTGTGGCCAATGATTAGGTTGAGAAGAAGCAGCACTGTTAGGACTCATGCTTGATCGAATTAAGACTTGTTCTGCAGGATACATAGATAATTTTACCCTATCTGTGTATCCCATTTGATAGAATCTCGATGAAGGAACTTGGCTAGGGTGATGATGTTGTGAATCAAGAAAAGTAGCATTAAAGCTAGATAGAAGAGTTGAATTAGAAGAACCCACAACATCACCATCAACTCTCAGAGACTGAGCCAAAGGTTGTGATGGGTTCAGAGAAGAAAAATACCCACCACCACCATCACTACGTTGATAACAGGAGCTAGTTGACTGAACCACTATGGGTGGAGATGGTTTGTTTTGGACCAGTTGCGGCTGTGACGTGGAAGATGAAGAATTTTTGCCACGCTTGTCCTTACGGGAACCACCACCAACTGGTATGTTCCTAAAGGTTCCACCTTGTGTCCAGTACCTTCTACATGTTTTGCAAAAGTATCGAGGCTGAGACAAGTTATAATTGTTGTAATAGCAGAACTTGGTGTTCTGAGAATTGCAGCGTGGGCATTTCTGGTGCTGCAGTGGTTGTTGTGGTAGAGGAAGAGGTTGTTTACTCTCTTGTCTTCCTTCTCCACCATCTCTAACTTCTCCTTCTTGCTCCATATTCTAGATGTCTCTGTGATCTCTAATCTGTTGCTTATGAGGGTGTGAGTGCTTTTCTTGTGGGTGGGGTTTTGCTTTGTATTTATAGTAAGGAATGGTTGGTGGCTTGTTACCTTGGATGCACATGCAGGTCTTTGAGGGGGGATACGAATTAAACTTGTATTTGTATAAATTGTATTTCAGATAATGCTTCTACGTATGTGTCGGTGTAGAGTCTCTTGAGATTCTTCTACACTGACCAAAACCACAGTGATCATCATTACATTGTGCATGTTTTACCACCTACCCGCAATGAACCAAAACATTCTGAGCATATATCTTGAACTTTGTATTGGAATTAATTGACTAGGATCCTATTATATATCTCATAACCTCACCCTCAATAAATTTCAGAGGATTGAATTATTGAGTATACCAAATGAAAAAGATGAGGAAATAGACTGAACGTACGGTCTCAATCTGGGTTGGAGAGAGAGAGAGAGAGAAAGTTTAAAGGGAAACTTGGATTATGGTTTTGGTGAGAGAGATGTCAGAATATGATAAAAATAAAATAAATGGGGTGAGTGTGAGTCCCTACTCTCACCAACCCAGAGGAAATAAAATTGGAACAGAAATAATGGACTGAAAAGTGCTGGGGTTATTCAGCTTTAACTGAAGGAAGCCTTAGAAAAGAAAAGAAAAGAAAAGGGGAACAAATACCACCTGCAACTTATTTCACTGAGTTGATATTTCTCTATCAGTTCTGACTAAAAATAAAGTAAAAGCCATAGGAGAAGAAAACAAAAAGAGTAGTTGTAAAATAATTAAACAAGGTTGTAGAAGAAGGCATGCAAGCCACGAACAAGAGCAGAGGCGGCGGTAGAGGCAACACAAGAGGAAGACTGAGAGGATGAAAGGTGAGTGGGAAGGGGTGGAATCAAATGTTGGCCAAGTCAAACTTGCCAACACACAGGATTTTTAAAAGCTTACTTCTTCTTTTTTTTGTCTTGTAATATAAATTTTATCAAAATAATATAGTTTTTGAATGCAGAAAATAATATATTTTCTAAAACACACTAAATTTTATGGGATTCATATTTTTTCACTAATAAAAGATAGAGTTGTTGTTATCAAAAAAAAAAAAAAAAAAAATAGAGTTGTTTTCATGTGAAATTTTTACATAAAACGATTCATTCTCAGCTTGGAGATTATTTATTATGAACCGAGGTCACTATTTTTTAGGTGATTTCTTAGTGTAAATTCGAACCCCAACTCTTGTGAATGGAAAGTATTCTGTGATCAGCTCTTTACCGCTTTGTGCGTTGATTTGGGGCGAGGAATTAGTCTCATGACTATCAGCTGTGAGACTACCCGAATATAATCTAAAAAATAAAAATAAAAAATTACAATAAAAAATAAAAAAAAATTAATGATGTGAGAGGAATTCCCCAGCACCAACCATATGAAATATTTTCCTCAGCTTGAACTCCCGGTTTGACCCCAATTGGCTAATTTCTACCTTTTTACCACTGCCAATGCACGAAATCTGTCGTACATCAAAATTTATTGGGCCTTGGACATCAAAAATTAGTGAATAAGCCTGATTTCTTTATCTAGAGTTGGCAGGCTAGAGAATTTAAGGGCCCAAATACATTTAACTCTCTAAATTTAAGGTGTAAGCTCAGAACTTTAAAGTGCTAGTGCAACGGTGCGTTGCAGCTTGCTCCATCTCTCGTCTTCTTCCTCCCTCCCATCGTGTTAGGGTTAGGGTTTTGCAGAGTTCCAAGCTCGCGAGAGACAACGCCGGACATTCGATTGCTTATCCAACGCCACACAGAATATTGTAACTCCTCCCTCTATAGTCACGTTTCGGTTACACACGAAATCGAAAGAATCCAACATTGTCGTAGAATAAGGTACTGCTTTGTTCCTTCTTTATGTAAATCTTATGATTTTTCATTTCTGTCTTGTCCACCTTTGACGTCTAAGTGTTATCTCTCAATTCTGTTACTCACGTTAGCATAATAGTAATACAAATTCTCTTTACCGTTTGCCTTTGATTTTTTCACTGTAAAAGGATACGAGACTTTGATGCTGAACTTTCAAAATGTAATGCTTTTTTGTTCTTTATGTTTATTGAACATTCCAGTTCTCACTGAGATTGTGACATCACATGACAGCTTTCTTTTCGCTCCAATGACTAAGAAGAGTTCTAAAATGACCCCAAGTCAATTGCAAGAGAATACTGTTGCGGAAGAGGAAAAATCCTCTCCAGCAACGAAAAAAGCGGTTAGTGAAATTGATGAAATATTTGCTGGAAAAAAGAGGAAGAATTCTGAAGGGGGAAAGAGTGGAAAACCTGATGAAGTAAATAAGAGAACTGATAAAACTAAGAAGAAGAAGAAGAATGTGAAGAGAGAAACTAAAGGGCTTGATGATGGTGAGTTTGTAGATCGGCCTTCTCGGTCAAAAAAGAAAACAGAGGATGGACTTTCCATCTACACTGAAGAGGAGTTAGGTATTGGTAAAACGGATGCTGGAGGTACCCCACTCTGTCCATTTGATTGCTCTTGTTGCTTTTGAGATGGTAGCTGCATAAGATTTTATGCACCCAATTCCTTGCTCCATTTAGTGTTGTAATTGTCACTTACAGTTTTGGATATATGAGCTAGGGGCAATGCTTTTCCTTTATTATATTTTTAGTTGGGCCAAATATGGCTTGAGTTATCTTGTGCTGAGCTTGAATGATTTCAATAGAATTTTGCAGCAGTTTAACATTGGCTCTTTTAGTCTTCGTCCCTTGTAACAGAATTGTTTATGCATAAAGTTTCTGCCAGTGGGTTTGAGTAATTTATTATAAAACGGGCAAATGTCCTGAGGTTCTGGAATCCTGTTACAGTTTGTCTCAGTTATTTTTCATTAATTTTTGCATTTGTTCATGTTTAATCAAACCAAATTTCTTTAGTTCTTCTATTTTTATAGTATTTTTTAATTCTCTTATGGGTATGACTCTTCCGATAAAAACCTGACTTTACTCGCATGAAACCTTGATAGTTGATGTTAGGATGCTTTTGCAACCGCAGAAGTAATGTAGGAATCAACTTTATTATGTATTTTCATTAGCTTTATCCAAAATGGGTGAATGTTTGTCTGATCTTACCATTTCATTTCCCAATCTTTCCTAAGGAGTGAAAGCCATTTTTCCCTTGTCATTTGCTTCAGAATCCTTGCACTGAATCCTTTCTTCGTTTGGTGTAAAATAAAACCTTTAATACCTCTGCTAAATCAGACAAAATGAACCTGTATGTTTCTGTTGCCCATCTCTCCTATTCTTCATCTCTTTGAAATAGAGTACATTCTTGCAGTTCAGCAAACAGAATTGATGCAAAGATATTCCAGGGGTTCCCATGTTCTTTATACACAACCAGACAACCAGTGACATTGAGTTGTAGTTGGTTAGGGTCTCTTTGTCCATATACAGCATTTTGCAGATTCAAGCCTTGACTGTGCATGCCTGCTGCATCAGTTTTATCTTGTACTCAGTCTCGCAATATATTTTTCACTTCAATCCGGATATAGATAATAAGTAATAACTTCTTGTAGGGACATATCCATTCCTTTGTGCTTCGTTGAGTTCTTTTTGGCTCGGACAGTACCGTGATTCCATCATTTGATAATTCAAAGTATTCATTTGATTGGAATCATCTTTTTCTTCACATTTAAAGTTGCAGTAGAGTTCGAATAGCATTTTTTTTTTCTGCCAGCATCTTCTATTACGTTTTTTTTTTTTTTTTTTAGGTTCCAAATTTTAAAAGCATAATTCGTAGACATCGAAAAATTCATTTAACAGTGTATTCAAAATAACATAATAGCAAATGTTGAAAAAAAAACTAGTACGAATAAAGTATGCAATAAAAATTATGTACCAAAAAAAAAGTATGCAATAAAAAAATTTACTAATTAAGACATGCAATGCATCAACTTAAGAATATTTCCTCGCCAGATTTGGTGCAACTAATCTCATAGTTAATACTATCTAATAAGATATAACAGCCACCTTTCGCTAACATTACACTTGACGAACAATGTATACATCTGAATAGTTTGAAGCAGGTTTGTGTGATTGGGCGTGAGGGAAAGACTTTGGGAATCAAGAAGGCGTTTCTGGTTGCGGACATGGTTACCATATCTTTCTCGTGTGGTCGGTTCGGTTTGATTACTATGTTTAGTGAATTTCTGATGTCCAACGCTTCAGTAGTTTATCACAGTTCTCCAATTGCTACTGCGTGTTCGAAACCGAAGAGGGCGATCATGTAGATTCACTCGCGGGACAGTTTGCACGTGTGCTAGTCCCTTTGCCACGTTTTTGTCCTCTGTAATACGTTTTATCCACTTGGTATTGAGCTTTTTCTCCTCTCGGGTGGGAACTGGAATGGGGAATCGTTATCTATGAAGCACCGACACTTTAAAAATCCTGACGTGTCTATCCGACACTCTAACACGTGTTATAGAAATTCAAAAAAAAGTTCAAAGATTGTGTTGCGTTGAGTTTTTATTTTCAACTATTAGATTCGTTGAATTTCAATTACCATTTTATTCAGTTTAATATAAATATTTAGAATATCTTATGTTTCTTTGCAGAATTGATGAATATTATAAGTTTAGTTTCATTTTTTTGTTAAATTATTGAATATTAAATATAATATACACTACATAAGTTAAAAATATTATTTAATATCAAAATGTGTCCTAGTGTGTCGAAATTTAACATTTTTTAAAATTAACGTGTCGAAATGTCGTATCGTGTCACGTGTCCCGTGTTAGTATCGGTTCTACATAAATCGTTATGGCCTACTGTTTCGTAGATTGACATGTCTCATTTAAAGCAAGTTATTGAATGGCTCTAGACTGTTTCGTAGATTGACATGTCTCATTTAAAGCAAGTTATTGAACTTCAACTGCTTGAAATTGATTTAGGCCGCTGCCATCTAAAATTTGAACATAATCTTTTGACATTGTGGCCATACTAAGAGCCTAAGGTGGTGCGTTCAAAGATTCATATAAATGTAATAGACATTGTGGTGTCAGTGAAGTGTAGAAAGCCAATTAAATTTTTTTATGCTTTTTAAAATATAAAATATTTGTGACTTAGAGGAATATAATTAAACAGAAAATATTTGATAATATATACATTATTGACTAGCACAAAAATATTATAAAAAAGTAACGTAAAAGAACTATTTACCATAGGATATTGACACATAATTAATACCAATTTGCTTATGCAAAAAGGAAAATTAAAAATGGTAATTGTTTGTCAAGTTTAACCTTATTTTCCCACCCCCGTAATTGATTGAAAGATAAGCTGTTGTTTGAATTAATTTAAATATTTGAAAAGCCTTATTAATCAAAGAGTACAGAGAAAAATTTTATTCAAAAATTGAGTATTAATAAACGCTATCAAACACGAACTAAAAAAAAAAAAATTCAGGGTCCAACAAATAAAATTAACATTATTTTGACATTCCGGCATTATTAAAAGAGACAAACCGTACACAGCCCTGCATATTGACAAAATCCGTATGATAGACTATTCAGAATCTGTCTATCTTCCTATCATGATTCTGCTGTATTAAAAACTTGCCCCTACAAGCTAACGTAAAAGGTTTGTTTATGCTAATCACGGCATGCACAAAATGGAATGTAATATGCAGATTTAGAGATCCAGACAACATACAAAGATCAATTAAAACTTTATCACAAATGCCGACCACAGATCAAATACATTAAAATTCCAACTAAGGCAAAAATCCGTCACAATTCGATTGCACTCTCACAATATTAAGAAATACGTCAATAAACTTAATGTATTCAAATAGCAAAAACATAAATGTATTTCGTAATCACCCTCATGGAACAAGACTGCCAAAAACTACGGCAAAGTTTAAACCTCACCATATATATATCTCTTTGAAAGCAGCTTATGCTGTGACAGTTGGCTTGGTGGCACTGGATATTTTGGATCTCCTCTTTGCCAAACTCTCACTACGGTGTTCCCTCTGCTCCTTCAATCTGGACGCAAGGAGTTTCTGATAATCCGCTGCCTCTGATTTTGCCTTAGAAATTCTCTTCTTCTTATCTGCTATTCTTGCTCGCTTCCTTTGGAGTGTCAAAGGAGTGACCAGTCGTTGTATCTTTGGAGCTTTGCTCACTTTTTTCCCTGCAACCAAACATCCACTGCTTAAGACTACAATTCTAACTTATAGACTATGCTACACTACACGTCCACATTAGAAAAAAATATGAGCTATGTGATAGGAATTACCATCAAACAATAGAATCAATTCAAACTTACAACAAGGAAGTTAATATGGAATGGGTTACTTCAACCTCTTTTTCTTTCTATCTGCCCCACTCTTCTAAATGGCAGCATAGCATATATATAGAGAGAGACTGATAGAGAGCTTGTTGACTTACCAGCTTTTGTTGTAAAGGTTCGACGGTATGTGTTAACATACTTTCTCACATCGTCCTCCTTTGACAGGTTGAACAGCTTTCGGATTTTGGATGCTCTCTTTGGGCCCCTCATCCTTGGCTTCTCAACATCAGTCAGACCTGGTAAATCATTATCACCCTTCTTCACAATTACCAAGTTCAGAACAGAGAGGTCTGGGCTGACAATGCACCCACGCACAGACTTCCTTCTACGCTCTCCATTACGCCTTCCATGTCCACGGAAACAAGGAGTTCCTGCTCAAGTGCATAATGCAAATTAGATTAACAATGTCTGGAAACAACCTTGGCTATGAGAATCCTGAATCCAGCAACAAATAGGCTTCTAAGGAATGTGCAAAGTCATTGCATAAAGGCACAGACATCCTCCAAAAACAAATTTCTATTACATTCTCTATATAAGAATCAGACAATACAAATTATTAAACAAATAAACATGACACAAGAAAGAGAAATAGTTTCCAAAGTATTCAAGGTCACAGCCAAATGTAGAACATGGAATTGTACCAATGCTATGCACAGCCAACACAAATTATAATTATAATCTGTTTATAATCAACAACTAAAGCAATAAATTAAAGCATTAGAATAATCCTACCTCTATAGAGCAAGAGTCGGACACGACCAGGTGTCAACACTCCCTGTTTCATTGGGAATCCTTGTTTGTCACAACCACCGGTGATTTTGAAAACATAGCCCTTAAATTCCTGTTGGAAGCATAATTATAAAGGTGAATAGATCACTTATTAATGCTCCTCGAAAAATGGAGCATACATTGAAGATTTCCAAATAAAGGGCATACCTCACCCAGAGCATCACCAAGGACCTCCTGTGAGATCCTCTTGTCCCAAAATGCCCGACTGAAACATAAAATAGAATAATAATCTTATAACAGATAAACAAAGTCACATAGATATCCCCTCAAAAAACAAACATAAAAAGGAACTCTCCACTGCAACTACACCGAGTCATAGTAAAAAATAAAATATAAATCCCATGAATATCAAGTCAATTAAAACACTAATGTTCACTGTGCCATGCCTATCAATAAATATACGGGAAACAAGTACCAGATTTGCACTACAGTTATGGGGCAAAGTAAGTATAAAAATATCAAATTTCAATTAAAAAAGAAATCCCAGCATAAAGAAGCACGTAATGAAAACAATTTTTAAATGGATTACAGCTTCAGGTCGTCATCAATTTCCAGCTTCTTCTGGCATCCAGTGGTGGGATTTGCAATGTTAAACTGCAGAAAAATCGACTGTGCATCAACCACAAACACAAGGAAATGTAAGCACGGATGAAATTAGGGTTTGAAAACAACACCTTCATTTTGAAATCTCGTCCTGGTCTCGCCGCGGCTTACTCTCTGCGTGCGTTTGGAACTATGAGCAGCAAGAGGAGATAGGGTTTTACACATTATGGGCTTTTATAGACTCTATTTCACTATGTTGGGCCCCTCGAATTGCTAGACCAACCCAAACCCGAACCCGAACCCACACACATAATTTGGGGTAAAACCCATGAAAGCAAAACATAGTAAATTATATTTCTGCCAGAAAATATTTTTCTGTCGTATCCAAATAAAAATGAAAGGGTTCAATTATGATTTATTAATATTTTTTTCTCTTTTTTTTATTATTATGGAATATATTCATTTTTAGGTGAATATGACACACACAAAAATTCTACCATAAAAGCAAAAGTGGTGCTAACCATCATTTTAGACTTATAATTCTTATTACCTATTTGGTTACGAATAGATCAATTTAAAATCATTGGTAGTTAATGTTTTCTCTTTTTCAACCATTGATTTTGAATTGATTCAACAGTAATCAAATAGGTAATAAGAGTGGTAAACGTAAAATGGTGGTAAATATAACCGTCTTTTTTTAATACAAAAAAAATCATTTAAAAGGTATTTAGCAAAAAAAATTAGAGGATTTGTTCCGATGTTTTTTTATTTTACCTAAGGTATCTCACAAAACTCAATTATTTGATTAGTTCTCTCTCTCTAACTACTTAACCTCTGTTACCAACCTAACCACATCCATTTATTTTATGTATTAGGTACTTTTTTATCGTCTTACATGATGCTGAGTATACGCCATTTATTTATAACACGGGTACTAATCAAAGAACAAAAGTAGAACGTATGTTCTCGAAAACATAGATAAAACTCCGGGGTTTTTTTTCTTTCTTTATTTTTGGTAGTTAACTCCATTTCTTATTTGTTACTGAACTTATGTGTTGCATAGTAATTTTTTACATTTTCTCTTTTTCACAAAATTACATAAAAGGAGAGAAAAAGAGAGAGTATTGTAAACGAAAGAGAATATAAAAAATATTAAAACATAGTTATTTTACTCTCTTTTTTATACACATAGTTATTTTACTCTCTTTTTGTATACACATAGTTATTTTACTTAAAATGACATAAAATTATATTTTTTAAAATAAAAAAAAATATTCAAAGCTAATTATTTACGCAGAAAAAGAATATAAAAAATTGTGTAAAAGAATATGCAATAATGTTTTTTTTCCTTTCTTTCAAAAGAATATGCAAAATTGCGGTATTTCTCATACGTATAAAGTAGAGTCGCTCACTCATTTAATATAAAATTGCTAAGAAACAACAGTGCTTGTAACGGAAGAGAGGAGAGGAGAGTAGGGATTAAGACTATAGCGTATGTTTCTTCTGCTTACATCAGCCTTGAGGTCATTATTTTGGCTTGTCTGGAGTCATGACCGATGCCTGTGGGATTGATATAATTTAAAATAATCAATATTTATTAAAATAGGATAAATAGTAAATAAATTTTAAATAAGGGTAATTTGATCACTCTCACATGTATCTTATTTAATTCCGTTGATTTGTATCCTTTCTTGTGTCTTGTTGTGTCTTCTAAGTGCCTTGTCAAACTGATTGATGTTCAACACTTGGGTACTTCTTTGATTATCTCGAATCCAAAACTCAGACCTGTGCCTTCCTTAGCCGAGGTCTAACACCATTGTAGGTTGGCACTTGTTCGTTTGTTATTTCTTATAGGGTCAAGATGTGCATGGCTTGTATCTAGAGATTTCCTAGTATATATTTTGAGTTGGGTGTCGGGACCTTTGAGGTTACATTAGGTTCTTTTGGTTTTGCTTGCAGTGTCAAGATTTATCTTGACACTAATGTTTGTATCAATGTTATCAGATCCGACTTAGTCATTGAGTCAGTCGGAATACTAGATTACTAAGTCACTAACTAAATCGGTTGAACAGCTTGACCCGAATAAGTACATAAAAACTTATATTTTATACATAAGAATCAACAAAAATACTCGAATATCTATAAGAAATGATATTAGTTCAAAATTTTCAAATATAAAAATTAATAAATTGCACAATAGTCCAATGAGCATATAATATTTGTTTTGTCTTTAAACATTTAACATCTACCGCAAACCTATAACATTAACTCTTGCTGCTATCAAGAGAAAACAATCAAATTAAAATCTAGCACAAAAACATATAATTATGCCCAAGGAGTGAAAGTCATGTCAAATTCATGTTCTCTTTCTTCATCCAATAAGTCCGAAGCTCGCCTGACATTGCCTTGGATTTGGTTTGCATTTTCCATGGTGTTGTCATATGCCTCATCTTCATCTTCATCATCATCATCCAAATTTAATTGATCTAAAACAAATGTCATTTTTCATGTGAGTTAGTAATTAACATGAAGTGATCAAACAATAAAATCATAATCATAATGCAATAAATAAACATACCATTATCATGTGGAGATGGTTGAAAGGAAATATTTGCAAAGGTCATTCTGTAAAGCCTTAATTTCTTCAACTGTTAAGTATAGTGGTGACTCCTCCAATATCTAGTTAGAGTGGTCCTCAAATGTTTCAAAATTTATTGGATCATAATTTTGATGCTTCAGTCGATTTCTATATTTATTAGTTTGTGTAATTTTCAACATTAAAAAATACTTGGAGAAATACTTATATAAAAAAAGTGAATAGTCGACAAACATAATACCTTTGCGCCATCCTCAAGTTATAACGAACATATACAAGATCATTAAGCTTTTGATGCTTTAATCTACTTCTCTTATTCGAATGAATATGTTCAAATGCGCTCCAATTGTGTTCACGACCCGAAGCACTACAAGTTTTGCTAAAAACACGAATAGCCAACTTTTGCAAATTTGGCACACCACATCCATAAGATTCCCACCATTGATCTAGAATATTTCATGTTATAAAATAAATTAGTGTTAATATTATTCAACAATAATAAGAATTAATGCTCATAAAAAAAAGAAAGATATCAACTATAAATTTTACCCGGCATCACGATATTTCGTTCACGTTTAGCATATGGCCTTCCAAAACCTAACTCAACATTTTTGAATTTTCTCATCTTACTTGTCGAATTACAATTTAAATCAGGATCCACATAAGCATATCTCTCAATGACATCTAGATGGCCTGATTGTTTTTCAAATTCTTTAGCATTGTAACGACAACTTGGATTCAACCAATAACCAGCGGCATGAAGATTTTTGCGAAGCTGTAATCCCAATGACTGTCTAAGATGTTCAAGTAAGGCCCCACCTTTTTTTTGTTTCTTTGAAATCTCCTTATCATCTCCTATCTAGATTTGAATATAGCTTGATAAAGAAAATACATGGCAGACTTATCTTCACTGTCAACAATACGCAACACACAAATAAATGGCTTAATAAGTTTCACAATATCAACATATTTTTTCCAAAAATGAGAATCTAAGATTTGTTCTACATTTTTTTTTACTTTGGCATCCTTAGAATAAGCTGGGCTTGTCCAATCTCTAGATGTCACCATGGCTCTTAGTGCATCTTTTTGAGCCAAAATACTTTGCAAGGTAATAAAATTAATGGCAAAGTGGGTTGGAGTTGGACGAAGTATTTCTCTTCGATCCACCTATATATTTTCTAATCAAATGCAATGGATGACAATGATTATATAGATATTTGGTAATTTTAGCAACATGTGACACAACATCACTTACTTCCTCTAACTTTCCAAAGTTATGTAACACCAAATTGATGCAATGAACAACACAATGAGACTAAAATATTTTAGGAAACTCATCCTATAATAACCTTCCAGCAGCAACATAATTTGCAGCATTATCGGCTATAATTTGAACAACATTTTCAGGGCCAACCTCTAACACCACATCTCTGAAAAGCTATTAGAGTAAATTACCCATCTAAGAAGCATAAATAGACTTTGGGAAAATAGTTCCTTTAGAACAATAAACTTGAAAGTTAATGAAAGTTCTCCTACAACGATCAGTCCACCCATCTGCCATAATAATACACCTATTTTGTTGCCAAACAGTTTGATAACTCTAAATAAGTTTCTTGACTTCTCCAACCCACTTGTTTAACAAATAACCACGAACTCTATGAAAATTTAGACCTTTATATCCTAGACCAATGTTATAAATAACATCAATCATTAGCTGATAGTATGATGAATTGACTGCATTAAATGGCACACCAACATCAATCATCCATTTAGTGATGGCAATGTCACATTTCTCCATGACTTCGTTACTTTGCATCACACTTTTTAAGGTAGGTTAAGCTCCAGGAATTGTTCTATGCATAATATAAGAGCTCATGGGATTGACATTCTTCCATATTTGTACACCTTGTTGTTCTTGTCAATGATCTTAGATGTGTCAGCTAAGAGGTTTATCTCGGCAACACTTGGCAAGGAATCAAGCTCTACACAAAAAAAGTACATAATTGGACTATTTTAATGATGAGAAACTGCGAGAAAATATGAAGACTCTAAAATCCTGACCTAGCTAGCCAAGCTTGAGTCAGCAAGGTTTTTGCAAATTTAGTTAGTTAGTTACCTTGAGACTGTCGCTAGCGTCGCCGAATGAGTCAAAGTATATTGATTTGATTCGCTAAAGACGTCGAGTTCCTCGTTAGAGCTAACATTGATGTAGCTGTTAAAGCAATTGCTGAATACTGATAACAAAATCACGAATTTTGGTTATTGGCAGTCCTTAGGAACTGTAAGATGTATTAATGCTAGAGAATTTTTTTGCTTCAAATGAAAGAATGGTAGCTTTTGCAATTTGGGGGTGGGAGGGTAGATGAAATAGGTGCAGGGTAGATGAAATAAGAGAGTAAGAAACAACATAATTTCCTTTTTTTCTTTTTAAATGCATGACTTGCAGATTTATTTGTGAACCGATTGGGTCACCAGTTTTGATAAAAATCGGTCGAGCCGTACCGGTTTTAATAGGGTTCGATACATGGCCAGTCCATTGCATGACGTGAACCGGTTATATCATTGGTTCACCGGATTTTGGGTTGACCCGATCGGTTTGATC